CTCCGCCTGGCTCTCCCATTCCGCGCTCGCGATAGTAAACCGTGAGTTATAGTGTTCTCGTGCTCCTCGGCCCGAAGGCCCGGCCTGCCCGCGATACCGCGGCGTCCGTCAAGCACGTCAGGCGGGGCGGGGCGGGGCGGCGTGTTTTTCAATCAACCGGCGGCAGCTTTGGTCCGCGGCACTTCCCCGCCTCGTACCGCATGGCCGGCATGGCGTCGTGGAGGATGGCGGCTCGGCGGCCCACGGGCCTTTCTCCCAGGCCGAACCGAACAACGGCCCCGGACCGCGCCGACTGCGCGACACCTTGTAACGCGATACAGTGGACCTGGGGCCCGGAGCCGGCCCGGGGCCCTTGGGGTGCATTGGGCACAAGGCGACCCGAACCGCTCCGCCGCCTCGCGGATGGCGTGGGTGGGGGAGGGGGGCCGCCCGCCGCCGCGCCGGGTGCGGGTAGTGTGAATCCGGTCCGAATCTGGTGTGAATCCGGCGTGACCTCAGCGCCAACAGCCATTGCGTTAGGCTGCTGCCTCTGCAGCGGCAGGCCTGTTTTGGAGAGGCTCCGAGAGGCATCCAGAGAGGCCTGCCGAACGGGCGGCGCGCGGTGGCTAGTCGCTACACTGTAGCTCTCCTCCGAAGCTGCAGCAGCACCTCGAGGCACCTTGCACCGGATCGGCGTGGCGCGGCGCGATCTGCTTTGCCGCTCCGCTTCGCCACGCCGCGCCACGCCGCGGCCGGGCAAAAGTAGGCCACTCCGCCGGTGCAGCCATGCAGCCGGCAGCGGGCCGCAGTCAGAGAGTCCTCGAGTCCAGGAGGCTTCGAGTCCTGGCGTGGCCGGGGGCCGCCGGGGGCGCCGCGTGCGCGGGGGCGGCCTGACGGCGTGGCGTGCGGTGAACAAGCCATGGCCCCTCGCATGGCCCGCAGCCGAAAGGCAGCCAAAGCCAAGGCCTGTGCGCAAAGTGGCGTAACTACGCCAAGGAAACAACAACAGCAGCACAAGACAACAAGCAAGACTCCCCCTCCCCCGCGTTCCCATACATCATCGCCGGCGTTTTCACGCGCGCTTTGCACGCGCACTGCTCGCCCCGCACTCGCCCAGCACACGCAACGTTCGCACGCGTGTACACCGATCACGTGACAACGCGGTCACGGTTCGGCGGCGCGACGCGTCACGCGTACAGTGTCGCACTCACGCGTGCACTTTTTCGCGTCGCTTTCGCTCTTGTCCTTTAATTAATCCCAGTCAAAAAAATGCCTGTAATCGTGCTTTGGAGGGCAGCATTTGCCAGGATGCTTTAATTTTGAGAGAGTGTTTATTTTCAGGTCACGCCTACGACATCATGTTCCTCGCTTTGGTCGAGTCACTACTTGTCATTCATTCACATGCACGAGCCCCCCTCCACCGCCCTCTTCCCCTTTCCCCACTTTTACGCACACACAGGTACATATACATACAAACACACACACAAGCGTGTTTACTCGCGCTCACACACACACACACACACACACACATGCGGTTGCTGCGGGGGCTTTTCTGGGGACTGAGAATGGCAGCACAGGACGCACTTCTTGTAGCGGGAGCGGGCGGCCCGGCACGCAGTTTGGCAGTCCATCTACCTGCCTGCCTGCCTATCTGTCTGTCTGTCTGTCTGTCTGTCTGTCTGTCTGTCTGTCTGTCTGCCTGTCTGTCCGTCTGTCTGCCTGTCTTCTTGGCTGTCTGTCCTCTGTCTGCCTGCCTGCCTGCCTGTGGTCCTTTCAAATGGAGTGACCGTCCGCCAGGACCGCCAGGCCGCGCAGTGCCTGTCAATGGTGAGGTGTCCCGCACTTTGTTTGCTAGCTCGTCCCAGTTCCCTGTCCTTCCCACCTCGCCCCTCCTCGCCCCTCCTCGTCCCTCCCACGGGAACGCCGTCGCCGTCACTACATTCTTCGAAAATCGCATCGCAACGGCCGAGAACGTCTCCGGGACGCCACCACACCGTCACGCGGGCTGCTGCCTGTACTGCACCGACGGTGTGCCCGCACGCTGCTGCAGCCAGAGTCACTCCAATTTTGTTAATTTATTTTTTTAACGCGCGCTGTCGACAGTGTTGGGCTGCAGTGTGCAAGGCAGCGAGGCAGGCATTGTGTTTTATTAATTAGCTTTGTGTGCCGAGCGGCGTGCGTCGCCCGTAGCCTGCAGGGCCTTGAACTCGCGGCCACGCGGCCACGCCCACCTGCAGCACGACGCCTCCCGGCAATAAGGCTCTATCTTTTCCGTACGTCTCTAAAAGGCTCTATCTTTTTCATACGTCTCTAAAAGGCTCTATCTTTTTCGCACGTCTCTAAAAGGCTCTATCTTTTTCGTACGCCTAAAAGGTTCTATCTTTTCAGGCAGTCTTTTGACATATTGAGAGTTAAAGATTTGATTAGTTATCAACATGATGGTTTATTTCGGTTCATGACGGTATGTGCTTTCACTCTCAACCATCAAAAGGAAGTAAAAACCCAAAACAGAGTTATAATAACTAATCAAATCCTGAATAAGATAGAACCTTTTACGCGTACGAAAAAGATAGAGCCTTTTAGAGACGTGCGGAAAAGATAGAGCCTTTTAGAGACGTACGAAAAAGATAGAGCCTTTTAGAGACGTACGGAAAAGATAGAGCCTTATTGCCGGGAGGCGTCGAGCAGCCCTCGCGCCATGCCGTGCCGTGCCGCGCCGTGCCGTGCCGTGCCGTGCCGCGGAACACTCCAAGGCTCCAGTTTGTGGACGACAAGCAGTCCTTTAGGGTCCTGGGCGCGCTGCCCGTTAGTTTAGGGGCACTCGACAGGGGCCCCGGAGTGGGGCCTATCTCCGATTCCCTCGATGCGACGTGTCATGCAAGCCGCGCGCCCTGGGTGGGGTGGGGTGGGGAGGGGAGGAGTGGGGAAGATGGCTGATAGCTCCGGGCTTGGGAACAGTTTAGTTGGAAGAGTCACTAACTAACAGTTTCGAAAACAATTTAAGTGAACCTCAGGCAAAGACGAACCCGTTTGGAAACAAAATTTTGATCTTCATTGATTTAAAACGTTTACGGTAAAAACGATACCTGGTTTTCCCAGAAAGCCTATGGTAAAGACATAAGCGATTTCCAGGGGGTTCCTGGGAAAACCAGGCACCGTCTTTACCGTGGTAGGTAGTGCGAAATTTTACAGCGGGCCTGCCCCACTCCCCTGACAGTGCTTACGGACGGTCCCCGGCGGCACAGCCGACTACGGCCCTCCGGGATGAGAGCCGTGATTCCATGTCGCATTGCGCTCGCCTCGGCTTGCCTGACCTCCGGTAACTTTCTATTCGGTCGCCGACGCTGCGTGCCACGTAAACACTTCTTGAATATTTCATAAATGAGGCTTAAACTGCCTGAATGGACGCCGCGCCGCGTGACTTCGGCCCCGGGCGTCGATAGAGGAGGCATTACGCGCACGCGCGCACACACGACGGAGTGAAATGAAAAGAGCGCCCAATTTCACTTTCCGCCGAGAGATCTGTTGACCCCGACCCTGCCTGCGGCCCGCCTTGGCTCGCCCGGCGCGCGGCGCCCCCGTGTCAGATTATCAGTGGTGATAGCGGCCTGGCAGCTACACCGAGCTACACTGCACGGCGAGGCGCTTATGCCCTCGCGGCCGGCCGGCTGGCGCGGCTCCAGTGCGTTAGACCGGATCAAACTAGGCATCGAGAGGGAGGGAGGGGGCTGCCAGGATCATGCCGGCCGGCGGTCAAGAGGTAAGGCACGACGGAGTTCCGGCAAGTCCCCGGAATTCCCAAAGACGCCTCGCGAACTCGTCGAGCACTTGGCGGTCGGTGCTCGTGTCGACTTAGCGGGGCGACGCGACGAGGATGTTGCGGCTTACCCTTGGGCTTGCCAGCCGTGTGAGCGACTTGTCGCTCTCTGTCTCGCACCCTGGTGGAGCCCCCGACGAGGGCGACACACAGAACGACGCGCTGCCCTTCCTGCGCGTGCTCGGCGTGCGCGGGCGTCTCTGTTGTTGTTGTTGTTTCTGCCTCGTCCGCCGCGCTCTGCATCACATTTTGCAACGAAAGTGGCGAGGTGGCCTCTCTGGCCAGCGAGGCATTGCATTGCATTGCATTTACGGGCATCAGGCCGGAGTCACGGGCCACTGCCCCGGAGCCGGGCCGAGCCGGGCCCCCTCGGCCCTCGGCCACCGGACGCCCCGGCGCCCCCCCCCCCCCCTCTCCCCGGCGGAGGCTCTCCTGTTGTACCAACACTCGTTTTCGCAGCGGGCTGGACCGCCAGCACGGACCGGCCGCACGCAGAAAGCTCGTCCCGGCTTCTTTGCTGCAGCCGAGTGAATCCGAAGGGTTCACTCTGTCTCTGTCGCACCCATGCGGCGTCGCCTTGGGGTGTGAGAGAGACAGAGACACGCTCCGGCAGACGCGCGGGCGAAATGCCCGTTTTTGTTATTTCGCGGGTCCGCCAATTTGGAGGCCGGCCGGTGACGCGCTCTGCGCTCTGTCGCCGCGCTGACGTGGCGGTGGGGATTTGTTTGGCGAGGAGGCGCTAAATGCTCTGCTTGTCGTGGCGAGGCGCGACGTCGCTCTGGCGACCAAGAAACGGACGAGTTCCGTCTCCAGCAAAGGTTTTGTTGCAACTTTTGTCGAAATAATTTAAGCCAGTCAAACTATGATGGTAACAATGGTTTAAGTTGCATCGAGGGTCCAATTTCCCTGTACAAGTCCAATCCTTCTCGCGGTTCAACCTGACTCCCTCCCCACCCTTGGCGGACACTGCTCCCGGTCGCTGACCGATCGCCCGCGTGGCAGGACGCCAATCCCAGCCAATCCCCTTTCTCCTTTACCGCAGAGCACATAACGCGACACTGCTGGCACTCCGTGCTCCGCGGCGCTCTTTTGTGTTTCCAGCAGCCCGGCCAGCCCGGCCAGTCCGCGCGACCCGCCGGACCCCATCGGTGAAACTGAAAACGAAAAAGCACTGGAGTGGGCACACTCCTTACACTCTACCTACCGTGGGCCGGTCTGGGCGAGTCACTGCTTCTCCTGCGTGCAGCACGCCGCCGCGCCATGCCTGCAACAACAAGCACACTGTGTTCCACTTTCGAGAAAAAGGGCGAAGCGCAGCAAGGCAGCAAGCGCAGCGCGTGCTGCCGGTCTTCTTTCTCCTGGAAAATCGGAATCGGGGGTCGGCCGGCCTGGTCGGGCCTTTCTCTGCCGGCGACGCGGTGTGGTGCGGTGGGGCTCATGAGGAATCAATTTGAAGCGCGCTCGGCAGGGCGGGGCGTGGCGGGGCGTGGCGGGGCGTGGCGGGGCGTGGGTGTCACCGCGGCGCTTGTTGCGGTTCCAGTGCAGTCCGCGGCTCCGGCTGCGCGGTGCTGCGCCGTGTGCGCGGCCCACCACTGTCAGCGCGTGGATTGAGCCGTTGCCGTGGCAACCCTGGCGCCACCGCGCTCACCGCGCTTCCTGCCTGCCGAGAGTTTTCCCTGGTTTTCCTCTCCCAGCAAAATATGACCAGGATAAAGATTTTGTGGCGGTGCCGGTGGTTGGCGGGGTGGCACACTGTGAAACACCACACTCTCGGCCTCCGCCAGTGATCCACCTCCACCTTACACGCCTCGCAGTGCCTCGCAGCAGCAGAACGCACTCCGGCGCCGTGTCGCGGAACGTCCTCGCATAGCAGCATCGCCACATCGCACATGCACCGCCTTCTAGGCGCCGCGCTCCTCGCGTGGGAATCCGCCGGGAACAATTACAAGGCGGTGACCGCGACGACGCCACGGCACTGTGGCGCCTCCTATCGGCCACGATCGCCGGCGACAGGCGACATCGTACCACACTCTGGCGGCGCCGGGAGAGCACCGCCGCCGATGCCGGGGATCGCCTCGTTCGAGTGCTTGTCTGTCTGTCTGTCTGTCTGTCTGTCTGTCTGTCTGTCTGTCTGTCTGTCTGTCTGTCTGTCTGTCTGTCTGTGTGCCCCTACGACGGCGCGCGGCCCTCGCGTGAACTTAAGCGAGGAGGCCCGGGGCCCACGCGTGCCCCGCCGGCGTACAAACACACGGCTGGCGTGAGGGAATTGGCGTGCCCGGCTTACACGCCTTTGCGATGAATTTATAGCGACTTCCGGTGCGAGGATTAGAGAAAGGGTGGGGCGTGAGAGGAGAGACAGAAAGGGGGGGGGGGAAGCGCAGCAGGGCTCACCGGCAGGCCGGCCGGCTGAGCAAAGAGCCGCAAGGATACCGTGTGGCGATGAGAAATCCGGGAAGGAAAAAAAATGAGACATAACGTGGCGACGCTGCGCCGCGCTATTAAAATTCAAAGCGGTTCCCCGCTGGTCCTTCCCTCTGGTCCAGGGTACCCGGAGACACAGACACCGGCAGCGGGCATACGGCGCGGGGACGGACGGCATGCAATATGGATGTGTGCGTGCGTGCGCGCGCGCGCGCGTGTGTGTGTGTGTGTGTGTGTGTGTGTGTGTGAGTGTGTGAGTGCGGTACGGCACGAGGGAGAGAAAGTTGCATCAGAAATCGCGGAGGAATCAATCAGATATAGAGAGGCCGTTCGTACGCGCCGTGTCGCGCCAAGCTGTCGCATTACCACTCTTTCCTCCTCGCAGCCTGTGCAGCGTGGCCAGCGTGGCCGCCACCAGGCATCCTGCAGACAAATGCGCCGAACGCTCGCCAACAACAATAACAACAACAAGAATGCACCGGGAAAGACGTGGCCGGACGTGGCCCGAGGCGCCTGCAGACGCGAGGGTAGGCAACCAGTGCAACGCGCGTGCAGCACCACAGTGGGGTTGCCTAGCCGCCGGGCGGCCATTACCATTACCACTAAGGGCTAGACCACACATGATCGTACGCCGGGCGGCCGGCAGGGCTGGACGCTCTGGCCTCAGCGCAGCTTTGCTGCTGACGTCAGCCACCCCCGTCCCCGGTCATCCCCCGACGCGCTCCGATGCCGACTCGCGTCCCGATATAACCCTGTTTAACCGGAAGCGGTTCGCAGGTGTGTCGCGAGGCGCTCTACCGCTCCATTGGCCGGTGGTGCGTACGGCGTGGTGGCGTGGTTTGGAGACCGCCGCGACCGCACGGCGGACGTCATACGCTGAATATTGAGATCGGTAGAGCAGAAGGGGAGGGGGTAGGTGGTCGGGCCGAATGGTGCGGCGCGATGCAGCAGGGGCTGGCTGCTGGCCGGGGTGCTGGCCGGAGTGCTCCGGGGTGCCGAGCGGCAGGGGCTCGCTGGGGCCCCCGACGCTGGGGCACGCTACACTATCGGGAGAAAGCGCTAATGCGCGGTGGGACGCGAAGAAAGAAAGATGATCTGCCTGAAGAGGGCCGGGGCTAGCAGGGGCAAGCCGCCAGGGCAAGCCGGGGCAATCCGGCTGCAGCTAACGCTAACTACTGCCCGCTATTAATTTACCGCGGGAAAAAAAGAGAGAGAAGAAGCGCCGCACGTCCGTCCCGTCCGTCTGCGTCCGTCCCGCGCGGCGACGCGCAGAGTGACGCCGAAGCGCCGCGAGGAACACATTATTTTCTTAAATCGCTTTCCGGCTTCGTTGCCCATGAGTCACGCGTTCTATCTCCGACCTGGAACCTGCGGCCCCCGCCTAGCGTCCAACAACAACAACAACGAAATCAACAAAGACATCAACAACAACAACTTGATCCTTGGCAAGTTCGAGAAGGGCGCACGGCCCTTTATAAGGCCGGTGTAAAATGCTAGTGCACTCATAGCACAATACCACCTCGCGCAGCCTTCTCACGCCCAGACCCACTCACACATCCACATCGACACACACCGACACACGTACACAGTTATACGACGTGCTGATGGGATGATGGGAAAGGAAACACAGAATGAGAGGTCGCGCGGCCCGTGAATGTGCAAGAAGAACAGCAAGAAGGAGAAAAGCAAGAAAGACATCGACACTCCTCTCTTAGTGGAGCCAATGGGCATCGCCGGTCTCCGGGGTACACGGCGGTGAGTGTGTGAGCGCTGTTCCGGGAGGGGCAATGCCGGCAGGCTGATTCCGAACCGTGCTTTCGTCGCTCTGTCTCTCTCGCGCTCGTGGGGCGTCCCACAGAGGTGCGAGAGAGATCGAAATACTGTGGAATCAGTGTCCGCTGGCGATGCCGGGCGATTGCTGGCGATTGTTGGTCATTGCTGCCATTATTGCGAAGCGGCGCGGCTGGAATGGTCGTCATGGCGACGAAGCGACACTCTCGGCCAGCCAGTGGCAGCCAGTAGAGCAGAGAAGCAGCTGGGGAGAGATTGACCGATTTTCGAGCTGAGAGATGAAATCGTACACAAGTCAGGTGGGCTCGCTAATGGGTAAGCACGGGCGGATGACAGACAACCAGCTGTGGCCGAGCCCAGAACCCCAATCAGCCGTCACACACGAGATAAAAGTGGAAGACATTTCTTTCCGAGCACTGTCAAACTATGTTGCCTAAGAAATTAAATTGCACGTTGCAAAGTATTTTGAGTATTCATCACTTTCCGAAGAAAATACTTCGTATTACGAAGCTCCAAAAATACTTTGTCAGGAGATGTCAGAAGGTCCGCCGCTATCCCGCTGTGACACCGGAGTCACCTTCCAAGCCCGGGGCCCCCGGGGCAGTCCACAAAGACACCGACACCGCCGTATCGCACGAACACGGGCGATTTCGGGGCCGACAGACAGGGCCGCCGAGCCGAGGTGAGTCGAAAGGTGAGAGGTGAGGACGAACCGAGAGGAAAACCAAAGTCTAAAAAACAATCGGGCACCGCAGGGTGGGACAAGGAGGTAGGGGTACTATCGGGTTGGCGATCGGCGATTGCGTGGAAGAGAGGCAGTGGCGTCGTGTGGGGGTGCTTCCGGTACCAGCCCACCATAGCTCAGGTCCCCAGTCCTCCAGCCCGCCTGCCCACCACCAGCCGAGGGAAGCAGCATTTGCCGCCCCGCCGACTACAGCAGGACTGATTTGGAGCGGTGCGTCCAGACCGTCCAGGACGGCGTGCCCGCCACCACCACCACAAGCCCGTCCAAGACTCGACTCCAATCGGCGGGTCAACGCTTCGTGCCGCATCGCCATCGCGCCGCCCCGGCTCCCTCCGCCAGACTCTGTTCCCGATGGTTATTTTCGCGGCGGGTAGGAGCAACCTCGCTTTGTGCCCCAGCCGTCCCGGCCGTCCCGGCAGCCCAGCCCGGCAGCCCAGCCAGCCCGGCGACATTTTATTCACGGAGAAGGGAGACTGTTTTGTGTTGTCGAGGTCTTGGGAAGACGGCCAGAAAATCCCATCCACGGCAGGGCGGAGCAGCGCCAAGCAGCGCCAAGCGAGAGACGCACGGGCAGAAGGACGGACGGGCGGGCGGGCGGGCAGGGCGGAGTGAAGTCGTGATGTAGCATGTACCTCGCAACCATACAGGCGAGCCCAGCCAGCCAGCCAGCCCAGCCCGCAAGGCTGAGGCTGCGTTACACTTTGCAGCGAGCAAGGCGAGGCGAAGGGCACGGCGGTCCTGGTCGGTCCTGGCCTACAGTGTGCCCACGTGACGTGCCTGTGCTGCACACCGGCCGGGATGACTCAATGGACACTTTGCTGCACTTCACCGTAGTGTCTGTAACGAGTGATTCACGAATTTCGCACAGGGTGGCGCCAGCGGTTCTCAACCTTTCTCGGCTCGCGACCCCAAATTTGTAGCCAAAAATTTTCGCGACCCCCAGGAAAAGTTTTGCGACCCCACGGGACCCCTCCTTTAGCATGCCACTGCGTCTGATCCGAGGCGGGCATTTTGCTCCCTCAACGGGCAATTGGTCTTTGGACCTTCCTTTAGCATGCCTCTGTTACGGAGTGCGATTATCAGTCTTAGTTTGGGAGCAGTATTGTCTCAAAGTTGGCCAAAACGCTCAGAAATGTCTTTAAAAAAATCATGTTTTGGGTCGATTTTAAGCAGCCACTGCGTCTGATCCAAGGCGGGCATTTTGCTCCCTCAACGGGCAATTGTTCCTTGGACCTTCCTTTAGCATGCCTCTGTTACGGAATGCGATTATCAGTCTCAGTTTGGGAGCAGTATTGTCTCAAAGTTGA